AACTTAATTAAAAGAGTTTAATTAAGTTTTAGACATAATTATAAATAGTTATAACTATAAGGTCTTGATTGTAAAATATAAAGGAAATTAATTTTGATTTTAATTTTCAAGGACTTAATTAAAAGGGTTATTAAGTAATGGACCCAATATTATAATGTGTTATAATATTGAAGGCTTAATTGCAAAATTGAAGTTATTTTAACCTAACTATATAAGTCACTTTTTCACTATTTTCCACATGAGAGTTTTTCACAATTAAAGAAAACCTAGTTTTTATTAAAAAAAGAAAAGCATTTTCTCTCTTTGGCACCACTCCCTTTGTGTGAAAGAGAAAATTGCTTATGAAGCGATTTTCAAGAGAGGTTCGGCTAAGATCATGAAAAAGAAGCAAAGGACAATTGTTATCATATTTGCTAGCACAAAGTATAGTTAAAAACTCTCTCATTTGTTAAAGGTTCAACTGCAATCGTGTGTATTACGGTTGAAGGCCAACCACTTGATTGGCTAAGGTTTTTGCCCTTGTGGTGTTCGTGGGATTGCTTTGAGAAGTGTCATTGTGATTATGAAATTACTTGGTAAGGTAACTTTCTGAATAATAATTTATTTTATACTTTTATGTGTTAAATATCACCAAGGAGATCCATGGATGGAGGCATGTTTTGGTTGTTTAGTTATAAAGTTTTAATTTTCTTTTCACTATGTAGTTTGAGTATGCTATCCGTAGCCAAACCCATCAAAACATCACCTTAGAATATTAAAAATTTGCTTTGTGATAGATTTATTTTTTTTTTGAAAGATGAAATTGTAAAATTGTAAAAAGAAACCTCAACTCCTATACAATTTACTTGCACAAAACAAAAAAAGAGAACAATGTCTAAGTTTTTGAAGTTTGCATTTGACTTACATGTGCATGACATGTGTAGAATTTTGTTAGAAAAAATAAACTTCAAGAATTTTGATGTTGAGACTATATTTAAAAATGTAATTGACACAGAGAATATTTGAACTTCAGAGAGTCAAGCCATTAAGTTCAAGTCCCTTGAAATGAAAAAAGAAGAGGAGGAGGAAAAGAAAGAAGCCAAAGAGAAAAAGAAAGGTCTTGCTCTAAAAATTAACACACTTGTAGAAGAACTAGAAAATTTGTTAAGTGTTGATGATGAAAAGCTAGCCATAATGGCTAGAAGATTCAGAAAGCTCGTGGGACAAAAAGGCAAAAGGATTGGAAGAAAGAGTTACAAAAAGGATCAACGTCTTCCTTAGAAAAACAAGCACAAAGGTGATCTCAACAAAAAAGATGAAATGATCTGCTTTGAATGTAAAGAACTTGGACATTTCAGATCCAGATGGCCATTACTCAAGGAAGAATCTTCAAAGAAAATGAAAAAACTAAAAAGACCAATGGTGGCAGCAACATGGTTTGACAGTGACTCTTTCAGCTTAGAAGAAGAAAAAGAAAAATTAAAAGAAAAAGTAAATTTTTTCCTTATGGCTAAAGAAGAAGAATTTGAGATACATCTAACTCTTGTGATATCTCTTATGATGAACTTTAAGATGAGCATAATTGGTTGTATGCTAAATTTGAAAAGCTTGCATTGAAATATAAAACTATGAGGAAAAAAAACATAGCATTAGATAATGAATTAGAAAAAATCAAACATGATTATAATTCTATTTTGATCAAAGAAATATGCTTCAAATTGAACTTGAACATCCCAAAACAGATTTTGAACTGTTGAAGTTGGAACTAGAGAGCAAAAATATAACCTTGCAAAAGGGAGCGGATGAAAATGTTGCTTTTAAAGTTTCAATTAAAGAGAATTCACAACTAAAATTGAAAATTGAAGATAAACCAAAAAGAATTACAATTTTTAGTAAGAGAAGTAATTTATCCTCATAACATTGTTATGTGTGTGGCAACAAATGTAATTTTTTTTATGATTGCTATCATATTGGAAGTAACTTGCCCAAAAGTAAATTTGTTTGGGTGCCTAAAGGATCTCATGTGATTGCTAACCCCTAAGAACCCATCAAGTATGGGTACTTTAAAAAAAAAAACTAAAAATTTATGTTGTAGGTTGAGCAAGAGTAAAAGGACAAATGTTTTGAAGCTCAACCAAAGGAAAGGCAACCTTAGTATTTAGACAGTGGTTGCTCAAGATGCATGGCTAGCAATGAGAAATTATTCATAAAGATTTATAAGAAGAAGAGTGGTAGTGTTTCCTTTAGTGATAACTCCAAAGGCATTATATAAGGAATTGAAACCATTGGTAACATCTCTCAAACTCAAATCAAGCATGTTTTATTTGTTAAAGGCTAAGACATAACTTATTAAGCATTAGTCAACTTATTAATCATGGATGTCTAGTAATTGATGTTGACACTAACAAAGTTACATTCATTGCCAAAAGAATTAAGAACATGTATGTTATCTTTCTTGATGAAATTGAGCTTAAAAGTGAATCATGACTTATGGCCAATGATGTGTGTGATAGTTGATTATGGTATAAAAGATTAGGACATACTAGCATGCACACTATTTCAAAACTCTTACAAAAGGATCTAGTGCTTCCCGACCAAATCCCCATAGTCAGATCTAGCACTCCACAACCAGATCCAATCGTGGGAAATGCCTATCTACCACCCTAGTGGGCAGATCCAACCACATGGTGCATCAAATTGGAGTTTCATTACACCAATCACATTTTTTATGGGCAGACCATGGAGAAGAATAAAGGAAAAAGGAAAAACAAATTTAAAAATAAAAAAGTTAAAAATTTATTTATAAATTCTAAAAAATTAATATTTTAAAATATTAATATTTTAATATTTTAATCATATTTAAATTTTAAATAAAATATTAATATTTTAAAAAATTAATGTTTACCTTATTAAATTATTAATATATGAAAATTTTAATTAAAGTAAAAATAAAAAATTAAACATAAAAATAAAGAAAAATTAAAAAATTATATTAATTTTTAAAAATAAACTATTAAATTTTAAATTTTTAAAATTTTAAGGAAGATAAAAATTAAATAATTAAAAAAGAAAATTTTTTCTTATATTTGTCTTTTTGTATAAATTTTACTAAATTATATAAAGGGTATTTTTGTTGTTTTAAAAAGTAAATATTATTATAAAATAGTTTTAGTTTTTAATTACATATTATAAAAATTAATATTTTAAATTTGGAAATTAATTAAAATTTTTAATATTTTAATCATAATAATATTAAATTATAAAAAATATTAATATTAAAAATATTAATGATTAAATTATAATAAAATATTAATATTAAAAATATTAATATTTAAAAGATTAATTATTAATAGATTAATTAAATTATAAATTATTAATATTTAAAAAATAAAATAAAAATAAATTATCATATAAATAATAATGGGTATTTTTATTTTTTTATTTTTTATTTTTTTCTTATTCTAAAGTTATTATTACTAGCCAAACACTGCAATAGGTCATAATAATTATTCTTATCTTATTCTATTCGTCGTACTAAACTACATAATAAATATTCTATTCTATTCTCACCTCATTTTATTATCATGTAATAATTATTTAATTTCATTCTTATCTATTCAACGAACAAAACGTAACCATAACGTTACATTTGATATGTCATAGATATCTAGTTGGTTTTGTTTTGGATAACAACAGTGGGGTGCTTATTAGAGTTTGGGTTTACTTAAGAATTGGTTAGTATGGACTTGGACATCCCTATATCTGGCCTTAACTTGTATGTGCTTGTTTTTAATTTTATTTTATTTTGGTGTAACCTCTTGTACTTATTAAGTCCAAATACTATTTTTCAGCTTTGACAATTTTACAATAAAAATTACGTATTTAAAAAAAAACTGCTATTTACCTAAAAGCAATTGCCACAAGAAAACCTCAACTTTGTGTGAACGTAATCCTGAGATATAATTCCATTGGATTGCACGTGAACAAGTATAGAAGAACAGTGCAAGTTGACAAAAAAAAGCTTTAAGGAATTGAAGTTGAAAAAGATATTGTCTCAGCCGCATTGAAATGTTTTACTCTCATCATATATGGTTTTAACCTAATTTTAAGTTGGTATTATTTGATTTGTCTACTGAATATTTCTTTGATGATGTATTATTACAATTATTTATTATTAAAAGCTATTTGATTATAATATAATTTCATATATGATTAAATGGCAAGAGAACACAAGAGGAAGAAAAGAATTCAATATCTCAAATTTGATAGCAGGTTAAATTAAGTGATTGATTATCTTAAATATTTAAGCGAATTATATTAAAGGCCCTATATGTACTAGGTACCAGGTAACTTTGTATTAAAACTCAATATTTCAAAATCAATTACCATTTGAGTGAGAGGAAAGATCCATCTATTACATATAGGAAGAAAATCTATGTTTGGAGCAAAACATGACCTTAAAATCAGGTAATATGCAGTGTGTCAGACAGCATACTAGGCCGGGAACAGTGAGAGAGAAAGAGAGAATAATTACCTCTAAAATTCTCTTGAAGAAATGGATGGCAATAGCAGATTTGAGGAAAAGAAATCTAAGGTCATCGTGTGGGAAAAGCCAAAAGGAAGCAAGACCGGCGAGGAAGGCCAGTGCATAGAGCAGGAACATACCAAATCTACTGGGAATTTTAATCCCAGTTGTTGCAGAATTCGGATTGAATAATTTGGAATATTGCAAGTGTATCCCTCCTGCTTCTAACAACCCAAGGATTGCCATTGATATTACAGTAAATACTGATGCTGCAGTATGGAGCAAACTAGGTAGACAAACAATTTGCGGTAAATTTTACCATTATTCACAATCAAATTCAGTTCAGGTCTTCTACAATATACCTCAAAATCTTAACGAGTGTTAACATTGTCTTTTTTCTTCCCTTTAACATCCATCTTGTTGAATATTTTTTTAAACATATTATGGTCAGCATGCGTTACATTCAAGCTGTGACGAATGAGATTCGTATACTGATATGGTAAGTTTAAAAAAAATATTCTTTTTCACACAATTACGAGTTTAGCCGAAACTAGGAAGCTTTTGGTCGCCAACCTTTGTCTCTCATGTGATATTAAGAATTGAATTAAACCATTGCAAGATCTCTTTACTGGATAAGCAATGAATTGGAAAGTCCCATTCAACACATTATTTAAATTGATCTTTTTGTCGACAAAAATGATGATCAACTGGTAAAAGTTATCCATGACAATCCAAAAAACAAGGCTTGTTTCTCTAGTTCAAAATGAAACTCTTCACATGTTCCATATAATAAGGACAAGATGAATTAGAAAATGTACTATACGTAGGAAAGTCATTAATGGTTCAAAGTGTTATGTGAACAACATACGACATATTTCAAGATGTCACCTCTCATAATTCTATTTAATGTTTTAATTGGATACATCATTCATTTGACTAATAGTGTTAATTTCATCTACAAATTAATGAATGAAAATAAATTTTGAATATTTAAATATAAATTTTTAAAATTTAAGGAACAAAACAAGAATTTGATTATAGTTAAAGATATAATCTAAGAACATGTTTAGGAGCGTTAAAATAAAACAAAAATCGAGATCAGAGTGCTTAATAAGAGAACAATTTTTAAGGGATTTCTTTGGTACAAACAAGTTCGAGACGATGGACCAATTTCTTTTTGAGCCTTCATTAATATATCTAGAAAACATATGGAATAAGGGCCTTGACTTGTTTTGGAAAATCTTCAAATTTAGAGAGGTACCATCTCCTGGAGACAACACTCCTACATGTCAAGTACATAGCAGAGCCTAGACCGACAGAAAAAGAATATAAAGTCTGAGAAATTAAGCTGATTCCCAAGAAGCCTAAGATCTCAAACAGATAGTGAGGGCAAATCACCAACTCAAATAAACCACCTCTGGGGATCTTGTAATCTTTGGAGCCCTTTGCTCTTAGTTTGGAGAGAAGGTAATGATGGTAGAAATTACCACTTATTCCTATTAGGAATAACACAATTCCAGGATACTTCAAATCAATTGACGGCTCTGGATGTCCCTGTGTCAGTTGTTGTGCGTAAATCATGATCGAACTGAGTGTAAAGTAAGTAACAAGTATAATTATCGTTGACTCAAGACCCATCACTCCACTGTATTTGTGAACGAAAAGCACCTGCAATATATAGTTCAACTATTATATTACTCCATTGTTTATATTCTAACTCAACCCTCCGACGTAAGCCTTCGGATTGCAAGTGAACAAGTATATAGAAGAATAGTGCAAGTTGACCCAAAAAAAACCCATTTATATTGTTTCAACCATTGAAAGAAAGTTTGAAATTTTTTACTCTTGATTTAAATCTCATCATATATTATTTTTTCTTTTTAATTTCTTCACATATAATTTTAATCTAATTTTATGCTGGTATTTTTTTATTCTTTCTCATAAAATGGGTAAGAAAACACTAAAGAAAAAAACAAACTCGATATCTCAAATTTGATAGCATATTAAATTAAGTGATTGATTATCCTAAATATTTAAGCGACTTATATTAGGTAACTTTGTATTCAAATTCAATATTTCAAAATTACTTACCATATTAAATTGACTGAGAGGAAAGATCCAACTATTATACACAGGAAGAATAGTTTTGTTTGGAGGGCAAAACATGATCTTAAAATCAGGTAACATGCAGAGAGACAGACAGAGAGAGTAGGAAGAGTATAGGAAGGAAACAGTGACAGAGAAAGAGAGAGTTAACGCTACCTCCAAGATTCTCTTGAAGAAATGGATGGTGACAGCAGATTTGAGGAAGAGAAATCTAAGGTCCCCATCTGGGAAAAGCCAAAAGGAGGCAAGACCGGCAAGGAAGGCTGGAGCGTAGATCAGGAGCATACCAACTCTACTGGGAACATTAATCCTGGCTGGATTGGAGAATTTGGAATACTGCAAGTGTATCCCTCCGGTTTCTAAAAACCCAAGGATTGCCATCGATATTAGAGTAAATACTGATGCTGCAGCATGGAGCAAAGTAGGTGGAAAAACAATTTGCAGCAACATGGTCATAGCTCACCTTCTCTCCTCAAACGCCTTTCCTCTTTCCTAACAATCTGAAGAGCTGAAGACCTATATATATATTTCAGCTATTGTTGCGTGTGAAAATGGAAGGCTTAATCTGGATGGGGGATCTCATGCTAGCTGTCCACGTTGCTGAAAACAGACAAGAATATTGAATATCTTGTAATATTTATATATGAAGATATGGCTCGTAGATTAATGAATAATCTCTCAAAAAACAAAAAATACTTCGAATCTCTTTCTCTAAATAAAAAAATATATATCTTACACTGTTTTTATTGTAAAATATTTGATCCACCCAACAACATAATTAAATGTGAGCCCACAAGTATCAAATGTTTAGGCATTCTTAGCTGGTATTGCATATCTTGAAGTCTTAACCGTTTTTTTTAAAAAAACTCAATTATTGTGTGAAGGTACGGATTAAAGTTGTATAAGGAAATATAGTTTTAAGAAATAATATTTTAGGAGATTGTTAACTGATATTTATTGACACGACTAGTAAAATTTTTCACAAAATGTTTTGTAATCAAATGATCCATTAGTATTTTGGTAAAAAAATTTATTAACCATTAAATAATTATCATATATCTATTTTATAATTAATGTATTTATTCATTTATAATAATATGTTCTAATGAGACGTGTGTTAACTCTATAATTTCATTTGTAAAGTTTAAAATTCCTGTTCCCTAATGTATAATTAATTTTCCCTAAAAAAGTATCTTTTCCTAATTTTACAGAGAATACTGCCTTACAAGAAACAAAGAAAAACCTTTTCTAAGATAGTAGATTAACTATAATTAATCCTACAGGTGCAATTAAAGAAAAAAAATTGGAGCGCCGATATATAAAATATTCTAACTCGAATATGGGAAGTACTTTAATTGAAACACTTTACTATTTTCGCCACATGAACAAACATTCAAAGTAGCTAGAATGTCATTTTCTAGACCTTTTGAAAGTTGCAAAGTGATTAAGGTAACATATCTCTACTTTTTTAGTTGTAATTGAAATTTTAAACCGATTCATTAGTTTTTAAAATAGACACTTCATTGTAAAATATATCTTTCATCCTATTAGGCGCATAAGTTCAATCGTTAGTCAACTATTAATATTTCTGTTAATTTTATGCTGTGTGTGAGATTTTGAGACAGAGAGGGGGGGGGGGGGGGGGGGGGGAGGAGACGGGTTGAACATTTTGGAAAAAGTTCTTCTATCTCATCAAAGAATGAATCCAAGTAACAGAGTATTTATACTCTGGTTATCAACTAACTAAGCTAAAGCATCCAATCAAAAAAGAGAGTTAAAATTGTTTACCCTCAACCAACTAGTATTTACAGCTTACTAAACAGTAACAGTAAAACAGTAACTAATAAATAACATGAGTCCCATGTGCTTCTTTCTTCATTCCTCTGTTAAGCCTTTCAACCTGGAATTCATCAATTTCTTCTTTTGATCTTCAATCAGCTCCTTACCAGGTTGATACTCCCCTTCAAGATGCATGCGTATTTTATTAACATGTATCTTGCCAAGCAATTTATAAAATTGTTTTGGCTGTAAAGCCTTAGTGAACAAATCTGCAACTTGATCATTTGTTGAAACATGAGTTGGTTCAACCACCTTTCCAAGAACCTTTTCTTTTATAAAATGACAATCAATTTCTATATGCTTGGTGCGTTTATGGAAAATTATATTTTCACTAATATGTATTGCAGATCGATTGTCACAATAGAGTTTTACTGGAGTATCTTGACTGATTCCAAAATTTGTCAGAAGACTTTTTAACCACGTCATCTCACAGATTGTAGATGCCATTGCTCTATACTCAACCTCAATTGAGCTCCTTGCTACTACCTGTTGTTTCTTAGATTTCCAACTGACCAAAGAATTGCCAAGAAAAATAGCAAAACCAGTTACCGATTTCCTTGTATTTGGGCATCCTGCCCAATCACTATCACAGTAGGCAGTAAGCTTTAAGTCTGAAGTAGATTTCATTAATATCCCCTGTCCTGGAGACTCTTTCAAGTACTTTAACACCCTTTGTGCTGCTATTTGATGCTCTTTAATAGGATTGTCCATGAATTGAGACAAAGTTTGAACTGCATATGAAATATCCAGCCTTGTAAATGTCAAATACAACAACTTTCCAATCAACTGTCTGTACTATGTAGAATCAGCACCTTTATCTGTTTCTGTTTTCTTTTTCAGTTTATGATTGTAGTTAATTGGAGTAGTAATTGGCTTTGCTTCCAGTAAACCAAATTCCTCTAGAAGATCTAAGGTATATTTTCTCTGACACCATGAAATGCCCTCACTTGATCTTGCAACTTCTAGTCCCAGGAAATATTTCACAAGTCCAAGATCCTTAAGTTTATATTTAGAGCTCAAGTACGCTTTAACATCACAAATGGCTTGGATTGAATTGCTAGCTAGCAATATGTCATCAACATAAACTAACAAAGCAACAAACTCATCTTTATCTGTGACCAAAGTGAACAAAGAATAATCAGACATTGACTGCTTGAATCCATATTCTAGAAGTGTAGCAGTAAACTTTGAGTTTCATTGCCTTGAAGCTTGTTTAAGTCTGTACAAAGACTTATGCAACTTGTATACCAGCTCAGTACCAGGTTTGGTATGTTGATACTCCCCCTCAATAGAGAGCCCTTGAGGTAATTGCATATACACAATCTTTTCAAGATCACCATTGAGAAAGGCATTGTTGATGTCCAATTGATACAATTTGCCATCCTTTTGATGCTGCTAGAGCCATAAACACTCTGACTGTGAATTGTGTGGCAACAGGACTAAAGGTTTCTTGGTAATCAAAACCTTCTCTTTGGTTATATCCTTTTGCAACCAAATGAGCTTTGTATCTATCCACACTACCATCAGCATTCATTTTTATCTTATACACCCATTTGCAGCCAACAGCATGAGAATTTGGAGGTAAAGGCACTATACTCCATGTACCATTTTCTTGCAAAGCTGTTAGTTTAGCAATCATGGCATCTTTCCAATGAGAACAAGTGACAGTTTGATTATAAGAAGTAGGTTTAGAAGTGTGAGATAAAACTATAGTGAAGGCCTTAGGTTTATATGACAATTGATCACTAGATAGATATTTAGTGATAAGATAGGTAGTTACATGATTTATGTGAGAAGGAATGTTGACCTGATATGCTTCCAAATACTTAGGAACATGTTTAATTCTAGTACTTCTCCTAGGATTAGAATTAGAATTTAAAGCATCTTGTGAAACAGAGGAAGTAAGGTCTGAAATAGGTGAATTGGGTGAAGAAATATGAGTATCTGATGTGGAAGCAATGTCAGAGGTTGAAGGAGGTTGGAAGATAGGTAATTCATCAGATAATGAAGTAAGATGAGCAGAATTAGTATGATTGAAGTCAAAAGAATCAAGAGTAGAATCATGCATACCAACTGTTTGAGGAAAAGCAAATAAATCTGTGGTAGAGTTTGTATGCTGAAAAGGAAAAATAAGCTCATGGAAAATGACATTCTTGGAGATGAGTACTTTGTAAGCATCAATGTCATATACCTTAAAGCCTTTTGTACCATTAGGGTAGCCTATAAACACACACTTACTAGCTCTTTTAGCAAATTTTGTCTTATGACTTACCAAGGTCAAAACATAACACAAGCTACCAAAAACCTTGAAGTAATCATAACAAGGAGATTTATGATAAAGACATTCATATGGAGACTTGTTATGAAGAAGTTTGGATGGTGTTCTGTTCATAATGTGGGCTACAGTAAGCACTACATCACCCCAAAATTTTATTGGTAGACTATACTAATACAAAAGGGCCCTAGCTACATTAAGGAGATGTTGATGTTTACGCTCAACCACACCATTTTGTTAGGGCGTTTCAGCACAAGAAAATTGATGTATAATCCCTGTGGGATTAAAAAAAAATCAAAGAGTCTAAATTCCTTACCATTGTTTGATCTGATGCATTTAATGGTGACTGAAAACTGATTTTTGACAAAATAAGGCACAATGGTAAAAACCTCAAACTTACTTCTCATAAAAAAAACCCAAGTAAAACGCCTGAAATCATCTACTAAGGTGAGAAAATAATGATGGCCATTAAGAGTTGGCATCACATATGGTCCCCATATATCAGCATGAACAATCTCAAAAGCAAAAGTTGTATTTTGAACATGAACTGAAAAAGGTAATTTTTTTTTCTTTGCTAAAGGTCATATATCACAAACCAATTTATCTGAACAATGTATTTCAGGATGCTGTTGATGTAATACATTTATTCTATTTGAAGGTATATGACCAAGACTAAAATGCCAAATGTCAAATTGATTCTGAATTGTTTTACAACCATTAGCAAAAAAAGTAGAAGGAAATTTCAAAATCTTATCAATACTAAATCTGGACAAAAATTGGTCATCTTGATTGTCTTGTATGAAATATAGGCTAGAAGACATTCTAACAACCCCAGTCACTTTTCAGGAGGTGAGGTCCTGAACAACATAGCACTCATCATTAAAAATGACACAGTTTTTCTGAGAATTAGTTAGTTTACTTACTGAAACAAGGTTGAATTGTAAATAAGGTACACATAGCACATTATGTAATACAAGTAAAGAGGTTAGTTTGATAGTTCCTATATGTGTGACAGTAGCTTGAAGATTATTGGGCAACTGAACAAAGCAATTATTGATAGGATAAGTAATACTAAAATTCTTTAAGGAACATGAAACATGATCACTTGCTCCAGTATCCATGATCTAGGAATTCGATTTAACCATGATGCTATGAGTATGATTCTGTTTAATTGAAGTATTATGAACTATGTGAGAGCTAAAATGATTGGAAAGCATACCTGCAACCCTAGAATTGACCAGGGAAGATTTGGTTTGTTGATTTTTTGAAGAAGTGCCAATACCATGATCAATGTCACCACTGTTTTCATTGATGAATGCCATTATCTTTTGAAGTTGATGCTTTATAAGAGAAATTTGGGACATAGAGTCAGGACCAATGAGCTCCTCTTTTTGGCTTGTCTGAATTGGTGTCTCTGCAGATGATTATGAGCCAGCAGATACACTATTAATGGATGATGTCTG